CAATCAAAATTATCTACATCGTTATCTATTGCCAAAGCAATAATTACCAAATAAGAAAACATTATACGCTATATTAAAAATAATGTTATACAGTCACATCTGGGTTATATCCCCCTTTTTTGGAGATATAATTAAGTTGGGATATAACTAGGATGGGCCGCTGCGCATTGGAATATTTCGGACTTTTAATTAGTTTTTAGAATATTTCAGAATTTCACAATTCTGGACCGTATTAGCAACGAGCTACCATAATGCAAGCCAGAGAGACTGTGCAAGCTGTGCAGTAAATTCAAAAAATCTTCGATTTGCCCATCCATAGATATAACTCAATATATAAAACATAAAAAAAAAATTATTCTGCTCAAATATGAGGATATGACCCGGCGGGATATGGAATTTTTGCTAGGAAAATCACTTTTCGATCTGGCTAATTCGAAATTTTCATGCAAATAAATACCGCTATATTGGTTAGGATTTGTCCGAATTAGCCCGATCGGAAAATGTCGAAGGGTGATTTTCCTAGCAAAGATCCCATATAAGCTAGGTGCGACTGTAATTATATAAACAAATCAGATTGAGCCTAGTTAAAAAAAAAGAATTACAAATGTACCGTCCATAAGACATAATTGATGTGTCGTAATTTTTGTAAGATATCTATAAATATAACAATTAATATTATTATTAAAATTAATTCCTGCAATGAATGAAAAGATAAATTACCTATGTAAATTGGTCAAATTCTTTTTTCGATAAGATGATGCAGAATCTTCATAACAACCATTTTCACTCCAGTGAATGACTAAAAATTGGTTCGGGTTCGAATTAATGTCTTCAGAGGAAGATGGCAGTCTCTGAAGATAAATACCAGGTCTTAAAGTTGGCAAAGATTTTATATCATTTATATTATAAGGTTTTAAAAGTTGCTCATAACTAAATTTATAATAATATTAGGTGAATAATTTCATAAAAGCATATTGACTTTGTGCTGAGAAAAGGGACGAAAAGTGATATAAAAAAAGTTTTGCGGAAAATTGATTTTTATTCTTATAATTTCTATAATAAATTATAAAAAAATAAAAACCTTAAAGAATTCTACTGTAAAATTTTATCAAGATAACAGTATTTGTTCCTAAGTGAAAAATGCTTCTAGACTAATCTTGTACAAAAAAATTCAAAATTGTTAATTTCGTCCCTTTTCTCAGCATCTAGCCCATATTATGATATAAAAACATATTTATTTGTTAAAGTACATACATTGCATGATTAATAACACCTTTATTCAATAATAATTTTGCAATGAGATCATTTCTACCATAACATCCAATAAGACGAACAAGACAGGAATTCAACCGTTCAAATTGAATTTTAGAAATCGATTTAAAGCTGCTTGATATCATTTCATTACAAAGTTTCTTCAAATGCTGCTCTGAAATCAATATCTTGTCAACTATAAAAATATACATATTCGATATTAATAATTATCAAGAATGTTTTGTGCACGCAATTGTATGCAATCGATCTTCTATGTGTACCAAGACCATTCGACCCTTTGTCTTTACATAAGTCTAATAAACGGTAAAGGCCTGGAATTGATTCACACAAGTCATAACAGGTATTGTCTGTTTCTTGGTCTATTTCTGCACCAACTTCAGAGGATTTGTCTGCAAAAGTCATTTTCGCACGAAAGAAAATGCATTAATAAAATTATTTCTTAATAATATGTTTATATTATTTTGTTTTCTCATTCCGTTACTTATTGAAGTTGGCTTCTAATAAAAAATGACTAGTGTAATTGAGCTTAAA